ACAGGCAAAAAAGGAAGAAAAGGATTTAGATAGCAATGAAAAGTTCTTTTCCTCTACAAGACAAAGAAAGGTTTTCAGAAATCCGGTACTTGTTTTTACAGTCCTGGAAATCACAAAATAATACAGTTTTTGTTCCTAGACAGGAGTGTGAATCTCTGTAAGGTGATGTTTCTTTTGCCAAAGTATAAAATCCTTGATTATACCAAAGTTAAGACTTCTCCATTCCACAGGGACAGGCATTTCATCTCCAAAATTTAGAAGCACCATGCACCCCCTTTACCACCACAGAAACCTGGTGCTTTGGAAAATTTTTCTCCAATTGAGAGGTAGAGGGGCCTTTCTAAAACATGCTTTCCTCTGAGCTTGGTAAGACTGAGTGCTAGGCCCTGGGAAAATTGTATCCTGAACATTGTATCTAATGTGGAATTTTTTTACTATAAACTATCAGCACAGCTTTTGCTATTTTGAATGATTTATACTGCTTTTGGGGACACTGCTTGAATTTTATGCACAGAAATTCAGCAGTGTCATGAGTGAATTGTTACCTTTTTTTTCAGCAGAAGACCTGCAAATCTTGTCTTACAAAGCTTGACTTCCATTAAAATGTAATTACCTCCCTTTTGTGCATTATACATTAAGAGTGGCTTCAAATGGTGTGTGGCTCCTGCTCAACTGAATTACTTTCATTTGTTGCTTGCATAGTAAGAATGAGATTCTGGAATAAAGATGACTGTTTAAAGAGGACTGCTGCGATTCCAAATTGCATAGAGAAAGTTCTGCTAATCAAATTAACTTGTTTACTCTCTAAGACCCTGACTGAAATTTTTGTTATTGCTCATCTTGGGCCCACAGAAAGTGGGTCCAGTGCTAATCCATGAGCAGTTTTTAATCCTGTGAATAATTCTAAATCCTGCAAAAATTTGTAAGGTTATTCTGGTGATGGAGGATTAGATTATCCAGTGTCTGTGCATTGACACAGTTTGCTCCTGCAGGACTGTTTGGTTTTGATTTTGCTGGAAGTGCACTGGTTCCAGGGGGGAGCAGAGTGGCTGTGCAATGCTTGGTGGTTGCACACTGCAGGGACTACCAGGCTTTTGGAATTTGCTCTTTGAGTGCCCCCTGGTCCAGGATATTTAGCCTGGCTGAGCAGGTTCCTGAACTGACCAAAATCTGCTCTTCTGAAATCCAGGATTATCATCCTTCTTTTTGCTTTGCTTCTGCCTCTCTGGACCCTGAATTCTACTATAGATAGCTCATAAAGATACTGCCAGCTGGTGTCTGGCACAAGTGGGCCACCTGACTTGAAAGCAAATAGGGCAGTGAGTAGATTTAGATTCAAATTCTGTGTGGGTTGGTGTGAACCTGAGTTTCATCTGGTTAAGTGTTTTTACCATAGTGTCTCTCTGTATTTTTGGAGGCACTTGTCTGCAGCAAACACATTTCCTGAAGGCAAAGGACAGCTGGTAGACAGCTCTGTGGCTCTGCCTGTGGAAATACTGCACTCAGTGGGGTGGGTGAGGTGAAGGAGGCTGCTGTAGGCCCAAAGCTCCTGAAAATGGCAGGGTTCTGCACAGAACAGTCCCTGCTTACTGGGCAGCTTTTCCTGCTCCTCTCTGGCTCAGTGTTGAGTGTTGCTGGGCTCATACTGCTTTGCAGTGTCAGTGAGATGTGGAATCAGTTTTGTGGCTTCTCCATCAGAAAGGTTGTCTCAGAGGGCTCTGCTAAGTCACTTAATTTCTGATGGGACCAGGTTAAGATGCCTAGTAGAAAATGGCTGAACTGAAGGTCTTAACATCCAATCTGTGCTAACCTGAATTGAATTTTGATCATTTTCATATATGGAACAGGAAACTGAAGGGGACTGTTGGACAGTGTACCTAGGGGATCTTTCCCTCACTTAACTGGCAATTGGCTACAGCTGATTCTGGAGTTTGGGACTGATGAGCTGGCAGATAACTCTGTTCTCTGAACTAATCAGCCTTTTGAGCATGGTGACCCTTTCAGTCATTCCTGGTTACTCTGGGGAGGGCAGCACTGGCAGGGTGATCAGGGTGATGTGGCTCCCATTGTTGGCTGTGACCCTGCAAATTGTCATAAAAGTGGAAATCATAGAGGAGGGTGAACAAAGGTGAGGACAATAAAAGCCTGAACGACACAAATGCAAAGAATATGTAGGGAAATGAAAAAACATAAGCAAAATGCATCTTGAAGCAACTTTATACATTGTTAGCCATGGACATACCATAGCCTGATCATAATCTCATAATCAAAACAGGTAGAGTGTAGCTGTGAACAGACTTGTGCATGAACATATGAACGTCAACATTTTATGGGTCAGCACATGGATGTTGGTACTGTGGTGGGACCTATAAAAGAGCCTAAGGGCTGGGCAGTTTCCTTTTTTTCTTTTTTTTTTCTTTTTTTTTTTAATATTTCCACAATTGCGTGTGTGCATTTCATTTCATGGAGCAAATATGCTGTACATCAATCCAGATTACCTGTCTAAAAAATGAAGCTTTGGTGATGTGAGTACTTTCAATGAGGGAGGAATTCCTCCCTCATTGAAAGTACTCACAGGACAGTGAGTACTTTCACTCTGCTGAGGCTGAGTACTCTGGGTACTCTTCTGAGTACTTTTACTCTGCTGAGGCTCAAAGCAGAGTCACTTGTCTTTGGAGGTAGATGGCAGCTTGGATGATGTGCAAGTTACCACAAGGGTGGACACAGGGGAAGAATTGAGAAAGGAAGAGATGTGGACCCACAGGCATTAAGTGCAAATGAATAAACAGTGGGTTGTCTGGTACCTCAGGTGAAGTGAGGATGGGGAGCTGGTGCATTCACATGACTCCAGACCACAGTCTTCTCCTGGACTCTTCAGCAGAGTCCTGTTAGCAGTCTGCCTGCATTTATATGTCTCCTTTGCTCTTAGTAAATCTGGTTCAAGTCTGCATAGCAACCTGCTGAGTGCGCTGCGTCTAAATAAATTTTGCAGGTTCCAGTGCCGGTCTGATTGATAAAATGCCACTGTTTCTTTCAGAGAAAGTGGTGTTGTGTGGGGAATAAAAAGTATGAGGCAGAGTGCAATCAATACAGATTTCAGGCGGGTCAGTCTTATAGAGTGGCAAAATTAGAGGAAGTGGAGGATGTGGGCAAAAGAGGTTGAGGGGGGGATGCAGGAAATTTGCAGGGGTGGAGAGAAAGCTGTAGCTGAAAGCAAATTAGATACTAAGTCAATGAAAGATTGCTTTTTCTAAGGACAAGTTATGAAATAGTGTCAGATTCTGTGAATAGCTCCAGATGCAGACATTCAGACACACATGCAAGCACACACATATATGCAAAAGCACGGGGAAAAATTAGTTTTCAAAAAAAAAAAAATTCTTCTTTTAATTTATCTCTTTGAAATTAAATTTTTTATTATTCCTTTGAAATTTAAGCAATTAGAGCAGGTTATATGACTAAACAAGTATTTTATTTTGCTTTGACTAAAGGATTATTGGAAGTAATTTTTGTTATGTTATAACAGATGAAGAAAAAGATGTTGGTTTGAAACACTAGAAAAAAGGAAAAATAACCATCACAGAAATGTAGTAGCCTAAATTTGCCTTTGCTGGTCCAGGTACCCTATCCATACCCGAAAGAAGTTGGTGTAGTTGCCTTGGCTTTAATGAAGATAAGCTCTTTTTACTGATGATTCCTAGACTGATTCATTATGTAAATGAGTCAGAGGGAAAAGGATCATATTCACAAATAAGAGTTCCACCTTAAGGTCTAAGTGCTTTTCTTCTCATTCAAGGTAATAGTTGTTATTTAGCCAGAGGTGGTGTTCATGGCAACAAGATTGGCAGAGTTTAAGAAGTGCTTGGACAGCCTTCTCATGCAACATGGGGTAATTTTTTGGGTGGACCTGTGCAGGGCCAGGAGTTGGACTCAGTGATCCTTCTGGATCCCTTCTAACTCAGCATATACTAAGATTTTATGATAGTTTTTCTTGGTTTGATTAATGAAATCTGGGTTAAGGCAAACTGGGGTCTGCTTGCTTGCTGTTCTGGTTCTAGAGAAGATGCTTCACAGAAACTCTGTTTCCATCTCTCTGTGGTTCCTGTTGTGCTGTTTTGTGCTGGTATCAATAGGGATTTACTCATGTTCCCAGTGAGAGCTGTTACCTTCCCCATTACAAGGTGACTTGGGACACAAGAGTATCTAATCCTCTTAATTTGTTTTAATTTCCAAGGTCCCTCTGTGAATTTCCTTTACCTGTCGAATACCAAGCTACCCTAGAGTACAGTGAAAGTTTCTGCAGGTGGTAGTAAAACACACAAATTTTCACTTGTGCCTTCCCATCCTTCCCTTATTTACCCCAAATTAATTAGAGAAGCAGGTCTTCTTAGTCCTTTGCTCATCCCATCAGTCTCAGCTGGCTGGACAGGCCATGATCCCATTGCCTCCCAAGTGCCCATAGGTGTGTGTCCCAGGGGAATGGGGAAGGGTTGGCAGTAGAGGAGCTGGAGAAAAAAGAGAGCTTTCTCCTTATGCTCTGGAGCTGCTCACACATTCAGAGAAAGCCAAAGGCTCACAATGAGACAGAAAGGAAGCAGGGGAAGGGTATATGTGTGGCTAGTGTGTGCAGCACTTTATTCCAGCTCTCTGCTGAGCTGTGACCCGGTTTCTCCAGGAGATGCCTGCTGTTTTCTTATTTTCCAAGCAAGTTCCTGAGACAATGCTTTGCATGCCAAACAGGGTCAGCCCCTCAGATAGGGAGGGTTCTGAACTGAACATGCAAGTCCCTCTCCATCTTCTCTACTGCCGCAACCTTTCCTGTTATTTTTCTTCTTTTCCTTCTCTTTTCTCTTTGTTCAAAATGGGGAGACAATTCTTATGTGCATGGAGAGAAAAAAAAAAAAAAAAAAAAAAGGGGGAACTTCCACGGGTGTTAAATGAAGTTTATTGCACTGCCTGCTGGACACTAATTTTTTATTGTTTTTGTTATATCTTGACAGAATCCAAGAAGAAGAAAAAGGAAGGCAAGAAACAAGAGAAGATGCTGGATTAATGGAGTCAGCTTGGGCAATGTGAGAAAGGGACATCAGCAAACATGATCAGTTAACAGTTTCATTTATACCTAGGCATTTTATCCTAAAATTATTTATAGCTTAATGGTACCATAGAAGGAAAAAGCAAACACAGAAAAAAAATTCTTTTTTTTATTACTTTAGTATTTTTAATGTATAATCCTAACAACAATTTTTAGAGGCCTATAATAAAGGACTCCAAACTCATTTAGAAAATTATGTCTATTGTATATTGAACAATGTAGAGGTTTTTAATTTTTTTTTTAATCAAGTCTTGCCATAGGTCTCAATTTGGTAATTAGTCCATGCAAGCAGAACCTGAGCCTGTGTGGGGCTCTGCTGAAGCCAGTGGTACCCTGTGTGAACATAGCACTCTGGCTGGATGCATTTATATTTCATATTGGGACCTTATATCTGAAAAATTGAGGCCTGTTTCTTAATATCTGATTACATCTGCATAACTGTATGAAACTGTTTGTTTAAGGAAAGGATGGGGGCATTTTGTTGAGTATTTACAAGTATGAGATTTTCTTGGATGTGTGCTTTATGTTCATTCCAAAATGTCACCATCTACAGGTAAAAACCAGTAACACTCCTTTCCTTATCCATATTTTGAATGTTGGCAGTAAATCTAAAATCTTTCAACTGGACGTAAGAGTCCTATTTTTTCATGATTTTCTAGCAACAATTTTTCAAAGTGGAATGATGACAAAACTTTCCACTTTTCAGCCTATTAGTGATGGTAGTGTCCTCCATTTCACCTATCAAAGCTGAAAAATGCTGTAATTTACTTGCTCATTTTGACAGAAGGGGGAAAATAATTTTCATAAAAGATCTAGTTGAAATTATTGTGATTCTGCCTAACCCATCTCTCTTTTGTATCAGTGGCAATATTCCTGTTGATTTTAAATATAGCTGGTTAAAAAATAGTATATCTGGTGGGAAATAAAAGAAGAAATCTGTTTGGAAACCACCAGAGGTAGTTCATATTTTTGACCAAAAAAGAGACAATTTGTGGGACCTGAAGCCAATAGGAATTAAATAATTTCTGGTTTATCTTTTAGTAAAACAGAAGGGAAATACAAAACCAGTATATTTTGCTTTCTTCCATTTTTATATAAGCAAAATACCTTGGGAAAAGCTCAGTCAACATAAAATTAGTTGTGATTTTTTTTTTTTAAATGTACCTTGCAGGGGAAAAAAAAGAGAAAAATTACAACCAGCTGTTTTTCAGTTTGTTCAGTTTTACCTAATTTAAATGATTCTGAATCCTGAGGGAAGTCACAAAGTAGAAAAAAGATCTGACAAATGGCTGGTCTGTCTCAAAGTAAAGGGCTGTTTAACAAACTGACAACAAGCAGACCAAAATTTCTAGAGGAAATATAAGGGATTTCAGTACCCAAATTAAGTTAAAATTCATTGCTTCGGAATTCTAAATCCTAAAATTCAACAGCAAGAAATAACTTTGCTGTTTGTGGAGGCTGCAGGCTTGCCTGCTGGTCAAGAGGAATAGTCTTCCCTGTACTCCTGCATGATACCCACTGACTTCAGTGAAGCTGCAGCAGGCCGTGTTCATCTGAGTAAATCACATTTCTCTCTTGGGATTAGCTTCTAGACAAGCAGAGAGTATTTTTTTTTTTTTTTTTTTCATACTAACATCACTCCCCTTTTCTATGTGAAAAAAATTGTAACAATTGTAGAGCTTGCCCTCTTTTTTCTCACATGGAGGGTACAGCTGATCTGGACTCACGGTGAGGCAAGTGCTTCTGTTCCCAAACACTCCTGAAGCCTCCTAGCCAAGGCTGCACATAGCTTAAGGTAGACTAGCCTCACAATTATTTCCCAGATTCCTTGGGTATGTTTTGCAGTCTGTGTTGATGTCCTTGTTATTTTGACCATGCCGTTAGACATACCTGAGCCTGTGGTATAGTTAAAAATGTCCCCCACACGTGGTGGAGGTGCAATGACCAAATGTAAAATCATAAAGGCTCATATTTAGGTGGTTCTGGGTGCTATTTGGTTTATTTATGGTCTAATCAGGTCTACCTGTGCTTGTGCCTCAGACTTAAATTAATGGTTTGGTAGGTCTGGTTGAAAGCAAAGGGAGAAGGAAACTTTTTTCTCTCACCAAAGGTTTGTCTGTCTACATGCTGCATCAGTTCACTTGAAGTGGCTCAACTTTGAGTGCCAACACTGTTGCACCATTGTCTCACACTGGTTAATCTAGTCCATGTTTCATAGGGAGCTGTCAGGAACTGGGAATGATGTTAAGACCAACACTTTGATTGTCCTTTAGCAAATCTTAGATGTGACTTCTTATTTCCACCTCCGTGAGTATAAATAAAATTAATTCCCCTGTGTTTCTTCTGATGCTTGATGGTCCTTTCATTTAGCTGCCCATCTGGCTCATTTGAGAAACATTCCTAATAGATTTTGAAGGAAGCCAGCCATGTTCCTGTGGTGGCATAGGGCCATCACGGGGAGGGGTTATAGAAAACAAGGAAACAAAACAAAAGATATCATGTTAGGACCAGAAGAAAATTCAGCAAAGGGTGTGAAATAGGAGAACATTTCTTATGTACGACTCATCCACATATGTTTGGATCTATATTGGCATCTTATTGTTGACAACAATTGAAATAATAGTTTATAAACCTAAAATGAAGAAAATTTCCAATAAGCCAGAAGAAAATATTCAGAGAAAAGTCTACCTATGCAGAAGGTGATAAAGTAATTTATGGCAGAACACAGAGGAAGATTGAATAAGTCAGGTCAGCTCTAAAAGGAGGCTTGCAGTACTTAAATGGACCCCTTGTTTCACTAGTGACATTATCAAGAAAGCAAAAGGCAAGATTCTGAGTGAAACCTCTTCCCACCCATCTTGATCAGTTTCTATTTCAGTCATTCTGAAGCTTCTCCCTATTTGCTTTCTAATCTTCTACCCTCCCTGCTTTGGGAGAGCAAGCTGGTCTGACAGTGCTGTGGGAGCAGCTACTTCAGATGAAATACATGTTTACCCTCTTGGTGCTATCCTATTACAGTGAAAAAATGACTTAGTATAGATGTGTTGCTTACCTAGTTGAATGGACAGAAATTTCCTTCATGAATGTCCCTCTTGAGGAGTGGTTTACATCTTCATTTGCTACAGCTGTAATGGAGTATGGGGAGGTGATAAAAATCCCCCAAATGACAGCCTTTTTCTGAGCGCTTAAATATATTATAAAAGAGATGGGTGAGTTGCTGAACATCAGCTTTGCATGAATCTGCATCCAGATTCTGCACTCCAGTGAGTTTAAACCTGAATGTATTTGTGTGTATTTGGGTATATCTCCCTTCTCTTTCTCTAAGCTGAGACAATGCTGCTTTCAGTTAAGCCTGTCTATATCTTGATTTAAAACAGTATTTGAGGACTGGGACATTTTCTGTCTTAGATATGTCTTCTGACAGAAATTCCCATAGTGAATGAGAGTCATTGCTTGTCATCCTGGCCTATTTAACAGTCTGTTAAATGCAGCAAAACTTCTGGGCAAGGCTCCAGAAAGGGAAAATGTTTGTTGTACATGCAGGTAGAAACTAAATTGTAATTTACTGATTTTCATCTTCTAATTCCATAATGACATTCTGGGCTGAATTGCTTTTCAAAGGAGAAAAGTTAGAAGAAATGAAAGAATAACAGTTATAAAATGTATAAGCAGGCCACTTTGGAGAGTTGGTGAAGAAGAGACAGGAAGTCAGGAGCATTTTATACAAATTTATATTGCCTGTTCCTTACATGCAGAAGACAGAACTACTGGTTGACACATGTTTTTATGCTTTCCTGGATTTGTGCCTTAATTAAAATGAATCAGATGTAAAGTGTTACAGAGAAGTAAAGTCCCACTTCAGCCTCAAAAGAAAGAGTTCAAGTGGAGACAAACTCAAAAGGAGAAAACAGTGTACAGGCTAATGTCAATGTTGAGGGTGGGACAACAACCTAATTTTCCCTCAAGTCTAGGAACTGCAGCAACATTAACAACGTAAACTCACCACTTTTCTAAAGCAGTATATTGGTGAGATGGAAACCATTTTGATATCCCACAGCAGTGGGATTTTATGTCTCTGCATGGAAAATGTTTCCCATTTGGGAGACATTTCATGTATCTCAAATCCTACTAAGGGGAAACTATGTAAATGAGGGTAGGTGTCTTGTATTCAGTCCATTTTAATTCTCTAGGACAGCACTTCTCTGAAGTTGAGACTGAGTTCTCTCCTTTGTAGAGACAGATTATACCTGTTGCCTGCCTTCCCACACTTATCCATAATTTTGATGGCATTTATTCTGCCAATTCTGCTAAGGCATTCTACTTCTCAGTTAATCTTCTGTGGATGTTGCTGATCTTTCCTCATCCTTGAGACTATATTTTCCATTTCTTCCTGGATTGTTGCAAAACACACCCAGGAAGCCCATGCCACAAATTTCCTTCACCTGTGTCCTTTTGAAATTAAGACACAGTAGCAATTTTTTAATCACTGTATGCCAGTGAACAAGGAAGTATGATAATGAGCAGAGAGAGTCCCTGGATTTACTGGGAAGATAGATTGCTGGTAAAACTTTCCTCATAACTTGACCTTGTCGTGGCTTCTCAGGGGACAGAAATGATTAAAAGATCATCTCAAAAATTGATGCAGGAGTGTCTGTCTTCAAACAAAAAAACCCACAGAAAACCACCTTAACTAGATAAATAGCGGCAAGCAGTTGTATCCTTTTCCACTGTCCTCTTTTATCATCAAATTATTGTGGTGCATAGAGTTTCAGGGATGGTGAAAGACTTGCCTGAGCAGCTGTAGAACATGCAGAGAGCCTCTTCCACCCATGGGTGTTTGCATTTGGAGAAGATGTAGGTAGTGTCATTCATAGCAGCATCAAACTTTGCTTTTGGACCAAAACTAAACAATGCTGAAATCGAGTCGTTTTCCTAATGGCTCCTTTCTGCCACACTTCACAAATGGCTGTCTGTCTTGTGGCCTCAGCACTCTGAACTGAGCATGAGAATTCAACTATATTCAACTATTATTATCTCATTAAGTATCTTGTAGTCTTTAAACCACTTGGCTTTGAGTGAGTTGTATAGGTAAAAGATGTACCTACAGATTTGACTCCTTTCTTGAAAAAACTGTGATAACCAAAAAAAGAAAAAACAAAACAAAACAAAACAAACCCAACCCAACCCAAACCCCCCCCCCCAAAAAAAAAACCCCGTAAAAAAAAAATTGAAAACCTGTCCGAAGAGTAGATTTATTGATGAAGTAAAAACAGAGGTGCACAAATATTCCCATTTCAGGTGGTCATTGAAAGTTAAAAACTGTGCAAAACCTTTAACCCTGAATTCAGTGATGGAAAGCTAGGAAAACTGGGTAGCCTCTGTGGGGCTGTTTTACCCACAGTCAGTTTCATTCAATTAATTTGGTTTTCGAACTCCCTTGCTCTAATCTATCTGGCAACAAGACATTATTTAACTTTTCTCATTAGATATTCATTGCACTCCCCATATTACAATCATGTAGTTCATCTAGACTGTTACAGCTGAATGAAGTGGCTGTGGTAGTCCAGGGTGTGTTGTGGTGGCTGAGGTGGCCTGAAGCAGAGACAGGCTGCAGCTTGGAGCTAGAATCCACCTAATGCAGATGTCAGCATCAGACACAGCTGCTCTCTAAATATGTACACAGGCATA